ATAACACAAATTTATAACAATATAAATCACATTTCAATCTCTTTATATAATATTAATATATAACCTTTAGATTTTCTTCACTACTAAATTTTTCAGAATCAGGTGTATTGCAAGATGGGGATATATCTTCACCATCTTCTGTACAGTCAATTGTTACTTCATCCAAATTTTTATCGTCACTAAAATTAGTATCAGCACTTTGTGTATCATCATCAATTATTACACCTTGATCATCTAACAGAACATCTTTTAGAGAAACTATACTATTGGTCAAAGCTTCATCATCCAGAGACAATGTATCTATAATAATTTATTACTAGTTAATGTTCTGTATGCAAGTTAGAATATTAAATAATGAGTTATATTCTTATACCATTTTCAATAACTTTAACAGCTTGACTGGTATCAGTAACAGAATTTAAACTATTTTCATATGATGGATATGAGCTACAAAGATCACTGTGAAAAGTATAAATATTATATTATACAACTATATTTATTAATATGAATGATAAACATACTTAAGGTGCTGTATTGGGATTGGGTATGCTCTGTTAAAATTACATCCAGATCCAACAGTTTCAACAAGTATTGGAACAAAATTTTTTAAAAATATGCTAGTTCCAAAACCAGAAATTAATTTCATTAAAAATGATTTTTGATATAATTTAAGCCATTTATGATGCACAGGAATATTTTCCTGGACAATATCTTTTAAGCATTCTTCATACAATTTTGTTACATTATCAAGGAGTAATTCCTTAGACTTTTGCATACCTAAGGTTTTAAATGATGGTTCCAATAAATGCAAAGCTGTTAAAGTATTACAATTAGTATCAGACAAGAGTTCAATAACCATAGGTACTAAAAACTCTATCCAAGTGCTATCAGCAAGTATTCCGAGAGTTCCAGATTCACTCAATTCACACATTTCTTGTTCAATATCTACGATAAGCTTGATACATAATGTATCAAAAATATCAAGGGTGAACTTTTGATTTTCTTCTAATAAGTTTTTGACATTTTCCATTTCAGATTTCACTGTTTTGTAATTGTAATACATTCTTAATATATTGTGTACACGAGAAAAATAATTAGGAAATCGCAAAATAGAAGAAGAAAGAGAAGGAATAAGGAGTTGATGGGGAGTTGGTGGTGGTAGTCCATAATCTGTGATCACAGAGCACCAGTTAAAGTCAAAAGGTGATGGGTTTTCATTTAAAGGTATTTTATCGATTTGAAGCAACAACTTGACCACAGGTCGAATGCAGTCTGGAAGATCTTTCTGATATGTTGAAGCAATCACACGACAGCTTTGTAGTCTTTTTAAAAAAGATAATGATGATAGATTACTTCCATGAGCAATAACTTTGTTTCCCAAAAATAATTCTATAATTAAACAACCCAAAACCTGAAAATGTAAAATAGTTTATTTTTATTTGAGTAATATTATTAAATTAACACGTAGTCAAATTAAAACATATAAAACATACAAACAATATACATATATATATATATATATCAACTAGTTAGTAAAACTACTGTTAAGTATAATGCATTTCTAGACAGAATTTAAAGGCTAAAATACTAATAAAAATCAAATAATTACTTGAATTTCTTGAGCCCTTCGATTTGCAATGATTTTTTTATATGATGTCATGTCTTTTGTACAAAATCCACTAGAAGTAGACGATTTCAATGTCTTAGCACATACTCCATTCAAAAAATTATTTAATGTATCAAGAGTGATTAATGGCGTTGCAGGATTATAATCAGGTGGTAACTATAATTAATGAATATTAATATAGAAATATAAAATAAATTAATAATAAATGATTAATTAAATTATATTTTTACAAAATAAATGTTTACTTGGTACAGTGATATCATTTGTAGGATGTAAAAACGCATGTTTGAATATGGGTTTTATAATACTGATAAGTAATGACCAATGTGGTATACTAACTAGTATAGCGGGTATTATAGCCATCGGTTTAATATGTAAGAAATTATACTGGTTTATATTTTATATATTTAATTTTATTTAAATATATAAAATTGTAAATTTTGCAAAATTATTGTTAATTCCAAAAAAAAAAAAAAACTGTTCATTTCCTCATGAATCTTTACTCCAATTTATTATTCCATATGAAAATATGTATTATATTTTTAAGAGTATAATGAACAGTTTTGGAATAGGTATTGATTATGACCTTATTTTTAGTAAAAAAAAATAATGTAAAATGAAACCACTGATCTAATATCTACCTTTATTTTCAAAAAAAAAAATAATAAAATTACCTATTTTTATAAGTACTTACACAAAGTGGTATTTTAGACATATCTAAATATTTTATGAATCCATTCATTGATGATTCATTATCAGCAGCTACATTGATATGTTGTTCCTCGCTTAACGGAGGGGTTTCTGAATTATTAAATTAAAAATATGATAAAATATTATGATTGATATTTATATATATTTCAAATAAGGCACATTTATGAACTTACTCAATTTAGGCATAATAGGAGGAATGCGAGAAAAGTAAGGTGAAGGTAAAAGTCTTTGAGGATGTGGCTGTGTAAATAACTGTACAATGCCAGATGAAGATAGATAGGTATGATTATCACACAGTTGAAGGCATACATTTTTTGATTTAACAGCAGCCAGACCAGATAATCTAACAATTAAAGATGTTTAAAAATTAAAAATATATATAAATTATTTATAGTTAGTGATCTTTTTACTTGTATCCAAATGTTAAATCAATCCAATGATGTAAGCGTTCTGAAATATAGTTGCTTTCTAGTATAGCTCTATGAGTGTCTACTAAGTCTTGTACATTTTCTGCCCACGTTGGAATGCCCAAATCAGGTAATTCTTTATGTATAGACTGATGAAATATTATGAATTAGTGTTAATTATTTCTAAAATATTTTCAAAATGTTACAATACTTTAAAAACTGATGGATCCGTAAAAAATTCTGGTATACATTCATCTGGAGACCATTGCTGCATGCGTTGTATGCTTGAAGGATATTCTTCTGGTACAAATTTTGTTCTAATATAACGACAAAGAACTGATCGTGGAGTTACCCGAGAACGATACACATAGTATGTTATTTCTGATAAAATGTCAGGAACATGATGTGGGGTCTAAGACAATAAATTGCATAGAGAGCATAGATCATAATAATAATTTACTAATACTTACCAAAATTGAAGTTTTCTCATCTTCAATATCATAAGTCAAATCTAACTGCCTGTCTCCTTTATTCAATCTATACTTAGATTTACTGAGATCACGATAATTAAGTCCAGCTCGAAAACTAAAGTCAGTCACCCAAGGAAATACATAATGACATTTAGGATCACCATACTTCCTACCAGCTAGTTTATTTAAAAACATAATATAGTCAAAGTTGGAAATATTTCCTCGAACCCATTGTTCACAAGTTTCTGCTAAATTCTCAAAAGTCAAACTTTTCATTGTTTCATCATAGCTATTATTAAATTCATCAGCATCTAAAATATTGTCAGTAATTTTTGGAAGTACCTAAAAATAGTAAGGTTTAGGATATAAAAATATTTTGTTTTGTGTATGAATTATAATATTTAATAAATAACATTAACCTACCCGAATCCATAATTCTGGGGAAACAATGATATCAGACAAAGTAATGTCACCTAACACAAGTCCTTGGTCATGAGTATTTTGCATTGCATTCAAAATTTGATACAGTACAAAAAGTGGACGAGCATAATTAGATTTTAATAAAGCTGGACTATAATTTATACAATCTTGTAGCGAATGTACATTATTTGTTTCCTGAAAATCACCATAATATGCTATTTAAATTAGCAGAATACCATAAAAATAACTAAAATTAACCTACCTGTAAAAGGTAAAAATACTTATTAGTTTCAAAAACTAAGTTAGCAGGCAAAATATTGCTATGAGATTCGTTTTCCGGTATTGAGGATGTTTTATTACGTGATTGTTCTTGTAAATTGATAATTGGACAGTTATAAAAACGAGTGAGTACATCTCGTATTATTGTATCATGAGGAGATAGAGACACATTTGAGTGAGGTAATTTTTCTCTACAAAAAAAACCGTCTGAAAAATAAAATTGGTAATAATCTTAAAAATTAATTTACTTTTATGTTAGCAACTCTTACATCATTGAATATGAAGATTACATTACCATATTTTTTATACGCTTCTTTCCACAAATTTTTTCTATTAGTTACTGTTACATATTGCAATTGTTGTGAATAACTTAAATCTTTATCAAAATGTACAGTTTCATGTCGTCTTGCTAAAGGAATCATAGGTTTATCCACTTTTTGTATAACCTACAAAAAAAATATTCAAAATTATTACTCTGGAAAATAGTCTGTAGATAATGTTTACATACAGTTATTAAAACATATATCCAAGTATCACCCAAACTCTCAATTTGCTGGACTTTTGCACGGACATCATCGTTTGTGAATATCTCATGATGCAAAAACGGACGATATATACCATTTAGGTAATCTCTGTTAAACAAAATAGTATAATGATAATATAATTTAAAATTGTACGGTGCAAATTTTTACCTAAACCAAATCCGATGAACACTAGCAAGAAATCTTTTAGAATTGTTAGTGGACTTCAAATATTCAACAGGAATTGTAAGATCTTTTGAGACAACATCTAGCCAATCCATGAGTAGTAAATTTAAGAATAATAAATACGGAAACAACACATGTCTAGTTTAAATGAATTGCCTATTGGTAAATTTTGAATTTGAAATTTGAATATAATGTAATATTATTTATTCAATTATTTGTTATAATCACAGAATTCAATTATTTTTTTAGGTTTATGATAAGACAACAAAATATTATCAGTATTCTGTGGGGGTTATCAATGTTATCATGATAAATTTATAACAACAAAAAATTTAAATTACTCGATTTTTCAAATTCAATGATTCAAATAAATATTTAAAAATATGCGAATAATTTATTAAGATATTATTTATATTCGTTGATAGTTAATCTTCTCAAATAATTTTGTTCAATGTAAATTACGCAATGGCTTTAGAATTGACAAACGGCTCTATTGAGGTACATGGTGATTTATTATTTTCAGTATGAGTCACTTTCTTACAAATAATATTATTTAATTTTATATTAAAATCACTTTTCTTTGTATGGTTTTAGAAACTATGTAATGGCATATTTGTACAACGACCAATTGTACAATTAATGGTATGTTTCTATAAAAAAACTATTATTCAGATTAAAAATTAAGATTAGTATGCTATATTAATAACATTTAATTTTGTAATTTTACCTCAGGGTTTTGAGGCTGTACAAGTGAAACCTAATGAAACAAATTATCGTCTAGTTTTATCAGATGGCACCTTCATGAACTCATATTTTTTCCTGTGCAGTCAGTTGAATAATTTGATTGTAGAAAAACAAGTGAAATATGCAACTATATTGAGAATTGATGAGTACAGATTTATGAATGGAGAAAATTCCACCAATCATAGTCCAAGGTTGACCAATAAAACAGTTTAATATTTATCCAGGTATCTAAATTTAATTTGTATTCATTGCATTTTTAGATGGATTATACTCATTCAGAAAGTAACAGTGTTAATTCATAGGAAGGTTTATGGAAATCCACAACCTTTAACAAATGTTGAAAAAAAAGAAATGCCATTAATAAATTTAAATATGAATAAATGTCTTAGCAGGGTGTTCTATTGTGTTGAACAATTGGAAAACAATCTTATAAATGTGAAAGATTTGACCAACCTATCTAATGGGTAATAAACAATTTTTGGTTTGATATTTTCTTTTACCTCTAAGTGAATTTTTTTTTTAATTTTACAGGAGTTGTCCTTTTGTTCTAAAATTGACTGTTGTAAAGAAAAGTTCAATAAATACTTACAATAGTTGTAGAATTTTAAATATCAACATGTTAGATTCTACGGGTGTAGTACGTGTCAGTGCTTTCAATTTACTTTCAGATACCATAAATGAAATAATTGAAGTACCTATTCTATTATTTTCTAGTTATTTCATTTAATATAGCAAATTCTTACTAATCTTTTAAGGAAAAAAAAATGTACTATATAGCTGATACAATATTGAAACATAACCAATTTGGCTGTGAATTAAAACTTCAATCTCATTCAGTGATAATTGAATGTTTTGATCAAGTTGAGCCACAAATGCCATGTATAAAAACATCTAATTTTAATAAATTATTAGAAAACAGTCCAAATACATTTTGTGGTAAATATATTCATTTATGCATTGAACTAGATTCTAATAGAATGAACAAGTAATGTTTTTTTTTTTTTTTTAGATTTAATTGGTGTGTGCATTGAAGTTGGCGATATAGAAGTTTGCAGTAATACAACTGCTCGAACAGAAGTTGCAAAACGAGAGATTCTATTAATCGATTTATCAATGGCAACTGTAAGATTTGTTTGTTTGTTTGTATAGTATTTTTATTTTTTCCACCTTTCAAATGATTTATAATGCAGTTTAATAAACTTATTAATTTAAAACTATATTATAGTAATGTACCTAATCATATTATAGGTAAATATATAAAAAAAAAAAAAAAATAATGTTTTATGATGATACTAACATTTGAAATTAATTAAGTCATACATAAGCTATTAATAATCAGGTTGACTTTATTTTGGCAATTCAATTAGTATATTCATAAAATAAGATCAAGAAATAACATTTATTTTAAAATGTGTTATAGTCGTACAGATACTTAATGTTATGTTTTATAATTTAATCTTTCTTAAAATAAAAAATATTTATAATCATTGTCATTTTATTTAATTTAGATTACTTTAAAAGTCTGGGGTGAACAAGTCAACAAATTTAACGAGAAGTTTGATGACCCACCAATTGTAATGGTTAAGCAAGCTGTACTTAAACAATTCAATGGAACTAAATATTTTTCAATGGTAAAATTCAGTGTTTTATTTATTAATCCAGATATACCAGAAACACATCAGTTAAAAGAATGGTATAGAGAATTAATTTTAACAGAAGATTTTTAACAGTGTCGTAATAAATTCACAATACTTTAATATTCTCCAATTTAAAACTGGTTTTCATAAATATATCCTTCTGTACATAGTTTTGTAATTTTTTTGCTAAAATTAATTGTAAAAATATTTAAATGTGATTTGAAAGCATTAGAAAAAAAAATTTAACGAAACAAAAATCCAATTGTTGTATCTATGTATAAAACAACATGTCCTAACTCTCAGATTCATCATTGTCTAGTCGGAACAGCTGATACTATGAGTATGAAATTTGGTCAATAGATTTGTTTTACTATGTAGAAATATACTATATCACTATGAAAAAATTTTCCAAAATGTATCCCCTAAAGGAGTTAAAAGATGAAAACATTAATACTTGATTTAAAAGTAGTAAATCTATTGGCATTATTTAATTTATCACAGGCAATGCCACACGGGATCAACTAATATAATTAAATTTAAGAAAATTGTATTGAATAATATCACACTTTAAAAACAAATTTATATAAATCCAAATGATCTAATCTTGTAAAAAGTTATTGGCTCTAATATCAAGTAATTGATTCATAATTTGTTTTGGCACTGTATTTTTTATTATTTTAAGTTTCATAAGAGAAATAAAACATTATTAGTACAATAAGTTATTTTATTTCATAATGTAAATCAACATTAAGGTTTTTAAAAACATTTATTTTACATAATTTAAAATTGTGTTAGAACAACATTTTTGGAAAACAAATGTATTTTTGTTTTTATAAATTTTTAATATTAGATTATAGTTAACCGATAGAAGAGATACCCCAGTGTAAATGTATAATTTTTCAATATTAGCTTGTAAATTTATGGTTGAGATTTGTAATATATTATGTAAATGTTAATTGTTAAGTGTTTATTTTTTTCTGAAATTCACAATCAAATAAAATGTCTACTCACATACACATGTATTTAAAATGCTGCTACAATTGTTTGTACAAATTGTCTAATTTCCTTAAATGTAGATATGTGAAGATAATTATAAAATTGAGAAATTGGAAGTTTCTCCAAAAATTTCTTAAAACCTTGTCATTTTGAAGGTTAAATAGTTTAATGACTTCTATTTGTAAATTATTTTTGACATAATTTATATTTACTAAAAAAGTGTTCTGGAAAGATTTTATTTGTGTATCATACTTATTAAAATTATGAAATATTTTTTGTAATGATTAGAAACTCAGTTTTAGTTAAATTACACTACAAAGTTTAAGAAAATAATCAATGACAGGTTAATAATAGGAAAAATAGATTTAAATAAAATTAAAAGAAAATATTAATCCAAATAATTTTACATTAATTTTTAGTTTTATTTGAAACAACTAAATACCGGTATACATACCTGACAACAATTTTATTTTACTTTGTAATTTTATGTCCAAATTATTCAAAAATGTTGTAATATTTGTTAAAAATGCAAACCAATAATCCATACTTAATTTAATAGTCCCTTATAAATTTTACTTTGTTATTCATAAACTTTTCTATTTTTAATCATAGATTTTTGTGTTACTTCTCTATTTAATCATTCAGTTCAGTATTATCAAAGAATCACAATAATACATCTATTTGTAGGCCATGAAAATTTCAGATCCCTGCTGTAAAATAATATTAGTTAAATGTGTAAGTATGTTACTTTGAAGTATTTGGGGGCTTAATCTCCCTCAAATCTTGATTTTAGAATTTAAACTTATAGGATTTATTTTTCTTTTCTATTAATATACAATTTATAAAAAACATGATAAATTATATAAGGACTAATTCCCTTGAATATTGAAAATTAACTACTGCTTGAAATAAATTATGTTAATACTATTCATAAAATAATTATTTAAATAGTTAACGGTAATTTATATATTCTATAAGTTTTTTTTAAACACTAAAAAATTATATATGGTTATATTTCACTTAATGCAAATATGTTTCAAATGTTGAATTTTAGTTTTCAAAGTTAATAGCAACAAGATTAAAAATTATGTTTAATCAGCAAGTTTATATGATAATAACAATTTACACCGGGTACATACTATAATAAATAAAAAAATAATAAACAACATTAGTTTAACAATATATTATATTGTTTTATATTTTAGCTATTTTATTTATAAATAAAATTACTTAAAAATTTCAAGTAAAAATTATAAATTTATAAATATTAAAACATATTATTTATAATTGATTAGGTCTTGACCAAGTACAAAATTTACAAATTAAAATTACTAATAATCCTAAAATAGGATATGGCCAAAGATATATTAGATTCATAACATTTTGATATTACATATTCAAATTTGTATCACAGTCATTTAGAGTCTTGAACTAAGTACTATGTTAAGCTAAATTACAAGAAAAACATTTTGCTTGAAAAAATAAAAATGCTTGATTTATATTAATAAATTTGAAATAATTTGCTTCGATTATGTGTCTTAAAATACATTACAGAAGATTAAAACAATTTACAATTTATAAAAGTAATCCGAGAAACCTAAAGTATTTTATTCTAATGATATATATATATATATATATATATATTTTGTTTGCTTGATTGTCTTGTTATTTGTACTGATTGAATTTAGAAATCACTACTTGACATGGTTATATCTATCAACACCCATACATTACAATATATATATAACATAACCTAGTTCAATACAAGTATACATTTATTAATTTTCTCATATAATAATCTGTCAATGTAAATAATATTTATTTACCAAATTATTATAAATTTAATTTTTATATTAAAATTTTAAAATATATAATAATCAAAGATTTTTGTGATGGTTGAAATATGAAAGATGAGCTTAATATAATTTAAGTTTTAATTATAAAATGTTGTATATTAAAATTAAATTATTATACAAATAATATGATTTTAAATTAATTTAATATTTTTGTATAAATTAATGATTGTTTGTAATTTTAAAATTGGTAAACGTTACAAAATACTCATATTATAAAATAATATTCATAAATATAAAAATAACAAACAATATATTGAAAATTATATAACATTTAAAATACTTTTTATAAGATGTATAATATGCAATATACATTTAAGGAATGTTGGTTAAAATTGAGGAATTAAGTAAATACCATAGTGCATGATTATTTAAAATAAAAAATATTGAAATATATTAAAAACCCTGAACTCCACTAGATCGTAGAATTGTTGATGTTTCATCTATATTGAGCAATTCTTCATCATCAGAAATAGATGAATCTTCAAGTCTGCCACTTTGCTGAACTTTATGGTATTGAATTTTTATACGTCGCAATAAACCTACTCGATGACGACTTCTATGCATCAATATGTCATCAGTCACCCAAAACATAAGTGCCTATATTTTTGAATACATAATATATAAGTAAGTATTTATAATACTAAAATCACAACAAATATTAATATAATTTAACTTACATTTATAAACAAAGGTATGATTAGCATGACTATAGTTAATTCTGTTCTAGGGTCAGTAAATGGTGACATGATAAATTTTGTGATAACTCGCCAGATGTCTAATGAAATTAACAATGTAATAATAAGTTTAACACAACATAAAAGTGACAAGTATAAACCACATTGAATAAACCAGATTCTAATTGATTCAGGTTTTCCTGGAAAACAAAAAAAATTCATAATCATTTATGATTACTATTTACTAAGTTATTGTACCTTTTATAAAATACATAATAATAATATACATACAGGGTGGTATAAATTGAAAAATACTGTAAGTTTCAAAAATAATAAAAATAACAATTTACATTACTTAAGAAATTAAAAAGGTTAGGTTGCAATATGTATTTTTTTTCTTATAAAACATCAAGTAAATTCATACCATACTCTCCAAAGTTAAAAGATTCCCAATTTTTTACTCTTGCTAAATGTTGTGAAAATCGTATACCACAAAATATCAACAAAAGACCAAGTGATGAATCCATTAAAAAATGAATCATATACCTAAAAAAATAAAATTATTAATTTTAATATCTTAAATTTGATTACAAAAACCTTTATTTTATTTTCATACTTTAAACCTGGTAAGTACTTAAAAATATATATATATATAAATAGATATATTTACCATGTGCATGGATCACCTTGGATTTGACCAGCTAAAACTAAATTTGCTGAATGCATGAGCAAAGACCCCATTCCTTGTTTGGAAGTATCAAAAAACCATACTTTCCAGGGTCGTCGATCGTATTTGGGTTCACAAAATCGTTTTACTGATTACAAACATAAACTTAAAATTAAATTTTTTTTTTATTTACCAAATTATTCACAATTCATACTAAAACATAATATGTTTTTAATATTTATAGATGAAATTGATACGGATTATGGATATTCAACATAAGGTGAAACCTTTAAAATGTTTTAGAATCATCTTGATTATGTAACATTAATATAAGTCATATTTATAAAAAGTAAAAACCAAGTACCTATTATGTAAACATAAAAAAAAATTTTAAATTACACGAAAAATAAACAATAAGTTCATTGTAAACCATAGTCATTTTTCTGAATAAAATAAAAATGTAATTAAAAATAAATCTTACTTATTAAACAAAAGAACGCCAATGTAGCTAAAAGACCTTGTAGGAACCATCCAAAATTACCGACTAATGCATTCGGTTCACAATGCACATCTGGTTCATCAAAAATTACATCCATCATAATGGAAGCCGCGGTTTTATAAGTACGAAACCAGCACTTATGTTTTTATAGTTACTGACTACTGTTACAAAAGATAAAATATATTGGATGATGGGCGGATAATTTTATCGTAAACAACTCGAGTATTATTGGAATTGAAATACAAAAATTTGTACATGATCATAATTGAATCATATTAGATTTTAAGTAAACCTAATTTTATTAAATAACTACCGAAATGGAAGCACTTTAAAAAGAATCATTGATCATTGATCCAATCGCTTTGAACAACCACGGAATAACTTATGTTTTATTTTAAATTCAATGCAAATAGTATGTTGACTATGTTGAAGTTCATTCATAAATGTTATCATTACCTCGTTATCAATATATTCGTGTGTGGATTTCTGTTATCTTATCTCACAGAAATAATATTATCGCGGTCACGGCTTTAGATAACATAGTATCGTCTATTGACTCTATTGTGATTTGACTATTTCGACTTTTGACTTTGAGTGTTTTAATCAGATTACACGATTTATGATAATATACATAATTTTATATTTATAATTTATATATATTTTATACCTATTATCTGCCTTATATTTTTACAAAAATGTACATAAATTGGTAATTTTTATTTTTTTTATTCTATAAATTGTAGTAGTTGTACTGAAGACGTTATAAAATCAAAAACAAATTACTGTCGCGCCATTACACAAATATACTGCATATTAGCGTAGTTATTTAATCTATAAATAAAACGAGGAAATTGAAACCAGTAATATTATATATCCAAACAAATGTATTCTATTCAAACTATCTAGACCTTTCTTTGAAATATATACAATTAATAAATACAAATACAATTGAGTAATATTTCAACAAAGTGCTGCATTTCATCCATAACATAGTAAGATAGTCATATTGACTATTATTATTCACACAAAACTGCGCCGATTTTTGTGTTCTATAATAATTATAGGAATTATTCCTATCATCATTTTATAGCATCGCTAATAATGTTATTGGATTAGCTTAAGTTAGGTTCAGAAGTTGAAATGTTGAATTATTATTCTCCAGAACTACTTCATTTGTTCCCGCTTCATCCATAACCTTCTCAATTTAATTTGCATGATGCATGAAGATCGAGTTCTAATACCGACGTAATGAATGTTTGCAGTCGTTATCGAAATATTGTTGAGTTCCAGAGTGAGATTTTCGTGATTAAGAACTACTTCTTCTAATTCTATTCTTTATATTATCTCTTCAAGTATGATTTCATAGAAATCGAGTTCGAGTTCTGTTTCTATAATATCCGAAATTGATGATGTCGAAGTATTGTTATTTTGTTCCAAAGTGAGATTTTTCTAGTTAAGAGTTGCTTCGTCTGATTCTATTTTTTATATTATCTCTTCAGTCTTCAAGTATGATTTCATAGAAATCGAGTTCGAGTTCTGTTTCTATAATATTCGAAATTGATGTTGAAATATTTGTATTTTGTTCCAGGGTGACATGTTCTTGACTTGGAGCTTCTTCACTCGATTTTATTTATGTGACTGTTTCATTTGTTTCATTTAGTTTTGATCGGAGTATTAAAATCCAACATATACGACCATCGTGAGGAATACTCCGATCAAAACTATCAAGTTCAGAAGTTGAACTTCCAAGTGCAGAAAATTGGCCGGTTCAGTGTAATGCATTGCAGGTACTCCGAATTAATTTATAGTAATTTCTGGATTTCGATTGATGGCACTGAAACGAAATTAAATAAATAATCTATAATAATATAAATTCATAATAACATCAAAGTTACGCATATACACAAAAAGAAATAAAAAAAATAAAACCATGGTGATACGATTGCAATTTAAATACAATTGCATAATAATATTAATCAAACATTTTTCAAACAAAATGATGTTTGATATAGTTTAAATTTTAAAATATTGATTAAAAAATGAGCCATAATCATGTTCTACTTTGAAACAGAGCTTATAAATTATTTTTTTTTTAATTTAAAAATATATCTTATAAAATTAAAACACTAATATAGTAATATATGTTTAGTCATACTGCACTACAGGTCTGTGTATTTGATACTATATACTAAAATATGCTTGAATATTTAAAAAATAAGTAAACTGATTTAGAAATTTTTAGAACTTAATATTTTAGAATTAGTAATTTGTTAATACCATTAGAAGTACTTGAATTTTTTATTTTTAAATCTTCTTGAGCAGCTTTTACTATTTGTTTCACAATATTCATTATATAGTTTGCTGTACTTCTATACCATCATTCGTTAAAAGTAATCTAAAATAATCAATATTATAAGATTTTAATTGAATTAGATTAATACAAAAATAATAAAATAAATAAATAAATATTACTTGTGCATAATATTTAGTGTTTCCACTGCTTAAATACAATTTTACATCATCATTCGTCCTGCTAAGGAAGAATCTAATATTGTATATAATGATTTAAGACAAGTAATAAAATTTTCTAAATTTTCCAAAGTCTGTTGATTACATATTGCTTCAGTACAAATTCCTAGAAATAATATAATTAATTAAGTAATAAGTATATAATTATAATTTTAGAACATGAAATTGTAAAAATATAAAAGAAATTAAATTTACCAAATATTAAGTAAAATTTATCTTGCAATTCTTTAGGTATGTTAGTATTTTAATGTTTAAATTCCTCAGCATTTAACCATAATGATAAAGCATACAAAATTGGAGGCCAAGCATTCTTATAATGGCTTTTGCTATTATCAATAGTATTTGATGTATAAAAGGCGCCACTCTCGTGGGGAAGTTGACTGTAAACTCTACATAGAATTTTAAACATTCAATTACAAACAAATAATAATATATCTCTTATAAAGCTTAATTTTGTTTAAATAAATTTAAAATATAAATTGGGATGGTTAATTGTCCAAAAATAGGTGTAAAACAAAAATAAACATTATAAAATAAATATTTATTTTGCTGTACTAGATAATATTATAAATGACATGAGTGAAAGGTTTGAAGAAAATAATTTATATGTTTTAAACTGTATGCAAGATATACTCTTAAATGATATACCAAATTCTTTTAAATAAATAAATAAAATGTATGGTTTTGATGAGGATAATCTCAAAGCAGAAACAAGCATTTTAAATAGAATGTATAAAACTGTTCATAATCAAAATAATGTACTATCAAAAATAAATTTCATTGCCTCAGAAAATTATAAAGCTGGACTCCCAACATTGACAAGTTTGATACAATTATTTATTACTATACCAACTAACTCTGCATAATGTGAAAGAAGTTTTTTTTGTTTATGTAGATTAAAAACATATTTAAGAACCACAATGGGACAGTCAAGATTAAACAGTCTTAGAATCTTGCAAATTGAACGTGAAAGATCATCTCTAATAGATAAAGATAAAGTAATAGAAAAATTCAGTGCTGCCGCAGAATGTAGAGGCCGCCGATTATTACTACAGTAAATTATATTATTTCTGCAGTAAAAAACCAACGAGTATTTTAATATATATATATTAAGAAACAGTATCTATTCCTTACAAATATAAATTGTACATATTATAAAAATATAAATGGCAGTTGTTATTTAAAATATAAATTTTATAAAATAAAATAATTGTTGTATTTTATGTATTCATATTATATTGTTGAAAATAATTCATATTTTGTTGAAGGTATGTAATTATATACCCTATTTTATAGTGCATATTCTTTATACATAGGTACCAATTACCAATAGATACAATAAGTGTTTAAGGTCAAAATAATTTCGTTGAGTTTATGTACTTGTAATGTTAAGTTTAGGATAAAAAATTTTAGGGGGGAAGCTAAGCCCCCTAAAAGTCTATTCAACCTTGAAACTTATTGCAACCCTAACAATTTAACCCAATTTACGCCACTGACCGTACCCACACGGCTAGTGGCTACATCGGCGTATCAGTTACATGCCGGCTCGTTGAATTATCGTAGAGCACTATTATAGATAGTACAGTAGTATAATCATGGGCCTAGGGATCAAATTTTTTTGTTTTAGGAGGGGAGTAGATCTCCTATGGGTAGACATGTACCGACTTATTGAGGGCTTCGTCTGAGTTTTTGGGAGGCTATTTTCCAAACTCGGAGCCAAGCTCTCCTGACTATGCCCATGAGTATAATGTACTAATGTACCATTGATCTAACATCGTTGAAATTATATAAAAAGAACTATGGAGGATGTGGAGCATATCAAAAATAGTTCGTGAAATTTAATACACAGTCCTTGCCACGAGCGCATAGTTATTCCGTTGAACAGCGGTGCAATGACGGTGATGACACTACCAGATATATAGATCACGAGACACATAATACTCATTACCTACTCAAGTCGTCTGATATAGTGATGTCGGATCTTCATGCGAAACAAAGTCAATATCAATTTGGCGGATTTGTCGTCAAAGACGCAAAAGCCGTACCTGGTACCTATAATTGCACACTAGGTAGCGTGATGATTCGTAACTGAACTGATCAGCTAACCAACATAAATTTAAATGTCGTGGAAAAAAGCAAAATATTCCTTGCAAATGAACTTTTACTAAGTGTCTACTATACTACTCAACTACATATTTTTCAGTTCATACATTTATTTTATCAATTCATCACTATCCGCTTTGGACTGATAAAATTTACAAATTAACACGACTTCATTGTAATTTAATAATTTTCGAGTTGGTAAGTGAAGTTGTAGCATATTGGTTAACGTAGCACTGTTTACAATAGAAGGAGATGCTGTAACTAGTAATTCTGATATCATATAAATATAATTTTGAATTATCCTTGATGTTTGTAGCACAAATTTTATTTTAATTCTACTAACAGAACATTCTTAATAACATACATAAAGCGGTTTTAAAAAAAGGTTATAAATTAAATAAAAAATAATCAAGTATAAATGTAATATATATAAATAGTAATATATAAAGTAATATATAATACACATACAAATAGCTTATATATAGTATTAATTAAGCTAAAAAAAACTTTTTTTAAATAAATTTTAAATAAAAATTAGTTCTGGTATTTGCAATAGTATCACAAACCAATTTTTTCATCAAACTTTGAACTATATTATTTTGTATTTCTAATTCATCCATTTGAAAATCAGTCCACTTACTATCTTCTTCATGCATTTGTTTTACTACAAATTTATTTACTTTTTCTTCACACTCATCTATGTCAATAATCTGATTCATTTTTTTTATAACTATATCACTTAAATCTTTAGGATTTTTTGGTCTTGCCCTAAAGTTTTTCAATCTTTTAATAGATCTTTTCCATAAAGGTAAATTTATTTCATCGATAAATAAATCAAGTGCAATTTCTTTACAGTAATCAAAAATCAATGTTTGATAATCAGCAGGTAAAACAGAGTCTGAATCTATAATGAAGTCGTTTGATAATGAGTTTTGAGAACCATTGAATAATTGATTAGCAGCTGTCAAAACTATTTTGTGAACTTCATCAGATGTGTAAGGTATGTCAAGAATTGATTTAATTTTAGTGGGACTCTTGTAAGGGGGTGGTGGCTTATTAGGTATTTCTCTTAAAAAAAATTGTGTTTCTTCGGACATGCGAAGACGCTCAATCTGAAAATAACACAAATCCAATGCATTATTAAAAAAAATTTATTCTGAGAGTCATTGAACATACTTCTTCTTCAATACGTATTTGTTCTTGTTTTAGTTTTTCTGCTTCTTGTTGAGTATGACTAAGCATAACATTGTTACTTTCATCTTGCAAAGTCTGAGATTTTTTCTAAAACAAATTCAGTTAGAAAAGTGACTCATAAACAAATTCAATTAGTTAATTTCATAAATTAGCAAGAACATGTGTTTAAAATTATTATTATTACCTGCTCTAGATAATTTTGATAAAACAATTCAAATGATTTTTCATTGTCAACATCATTAAATTTGTGTTCTAAAGTAAAATTAATAAATACATATATTACATTATTTACAAAGTTAAAGCAATAAACGATTAGTTATAAACTTTTAAATCGCATAAGAATAAAGATATTGCAAGACAAATAAATAAAAAATATTCTAACAAAACCTAAAAAAAAAATGTAAAAACAAGACCTGAAATTGAATACAGCTTTTTTACTTAAATGATAAAATGATAAATGTTTAACTAATAAACACAATTTAAGAACTTAAAATTGAAGAATTTTATTTTATATAAAAAAAATTTAAAAATAAATAAAATAAAAATATTAATTGATTTACTCGAGAAATAATACAAATTATAAGTATGGATATTTTATGCACACTGACTAATGTAAAAAATTATTATTGTGAAGTTGAAGCATATATTGATGCATAAAAAGCACAATAACAGCATGCAGCAAAATTAGCATTCAGAAAAAAAGAACACAAGCAAATATCTTACAACAATTTAATAACTGTTCAATAACAAAAAATCATTCACTTACTAAAATTTAAACATTCTGATAATTTCAATTTTTTTCTTTTAGAAGACGACCACTTTAAATATACTTTTAATTTTTCCATTTCTATTTCATTCAATCTAGGTAAATACATTTGAAGAGTTTCGGCAAGAAGTGGTTGGAAATGTTGCTTAAAAAGTACATTTGAAATAACTGTTGCTTGCTCAGAGAGAATAATCCGGTTTTGATTTTCTTCTTCACGTTTTAAGATCAATAATAATGGAGTTTCTTCAGTTAAATTATTAAGATCCTTTATTTCCGAACGAAATAACGATTTATTCATATTAGAATTTAGTGATTTTTTTGTATCTTTTAGAAGACAGTTAAAAATATTATTAGTAATAGCATGTACTTTGTCATCAGTAGAATTCTTCATTTGAACCTAAAATATAATATATTAAATGTTTGGTTAGTTTATTAGTAATATAAATAATTTATAACTACATGGACTATATGGTATAACTTTACTTACAAAATCATTATGATCATCTGAATACTGTTCTATAAATGTTTTATCCTCAAATATTATTTCTCCTTCACTTCTTTCTTCTTCATAAGAAGTTTCATTACTTTGTTCACTGTCATTTAATTCTATAATATTATCATTTTTATTAAATTGATATGATCCTTGAAAGTTTGATGTATAATCATCTGATGTAAAATCTGAACTATAAATATCATCTAATCCAATTTTATAATTAGGTACTTCAAATTGACTGATACTGTTTTCCTGCTTTTCACAAACATTAGTATCATTTTTCATTAAATTAACTAAGAGTTTACTTTGATTAACGCTTCTATCAGATGGACTCGCTGTATTGGAGCAGTTAATATTGTCATGTGTAATTAGTGACTTATTATCATCTGTTTTTAGACATGGTTCTTGGTTATTAGAAATTTCTGAAATGATTTGGTTTGAAAAAGAATGCCTACATAAGGGAGTATCTAAATTTATATCATTGTCAGTTATTTTACATGGATGTGTTTCTTCCTTTAAATTTAATTTAAGATTATTTGATGCTTGAATATTTAAAGTATTCGGTAGTTGGGGTTTTAAAAGAATGTTTCCATCAATTTCAATTTCATGACATTTTTTTGAATCATTTATTTCTTTTTCAGTATGTTTTCTATGTAACTGTATATCTTCACAAACTGCATTTGATTCTAAAGATTGAAATGATTGTTCTGTGGGTTTACAACTATCAATATTTACTGAATCAAAATTATTTTTATACATATTGTAATTTTCTTTTGATTTATTAACATTTTTTTTTTGTAATTCATTTACTGGTTTATTTAGAGATATATTCTGATCACATGCCGTATCAGTTGCAGTTGGATAGAAATACTTCTTTCCATCTGTCCATGTTATTTTATCTGATTCATTCATATGTTGATCATAATCATTTTCATAATTAATTATATTTTGAAGAACAGAAAAATTAGAATTTGTTAAAAAAGAATGGTTTATTATTGAAGATTTAGATTCGTGTAAATTTTTTTTTTTAATTTCAACTATCAAACTCTTTCTTGATTCTTCAATTTTCTTGTCGTATAAATTTATCTGTTTTAAAAGATCTTGTTCTTTAGCTTTAAGATTTTCTAATCTAAGTTTTTTTTGTTCTTTTTTTAGTCTAGAAGATTCTAACTTTTTAGCTTCAAGTTGTTCTTGTAAAGTTATTATCCGTGTATCCAGGTCACTCTGTTCTGAATTTGTACCTTGAAAATAAATAAATACAAATAATTTAGAAGAATTTTACTTAGAAATTTTAATCATTTTATTTACTATTTGATGTTTCTGAAAGATGTTTCAATTTAACAGGACTTGTTGGTAAAATTGGAGACAATGATCTTTTATCCTTGGTTTTATTTGCATCAAATACTTCAGTTTTATAAGATAAATCAACAGGATTAAATGATTGTATATTTACGTTATTGGTATAGTTACATCTAAACATTATATAATTAGTTAATAGTACATAATTTTATTTATATAGCTATTATAGAAAATTGTACACTAACTTTGTTTTAGAGGTTTGTATAGCTTTATCAATGATGGACTGTGAAGAATATTTAACATCTGTTTGAACTTCGACATTTTGAACTTGATTTAAAGTATTTGTTTCAACACTAATAGGAGAAGTTGCTTGATCTAATAAATAAAACAACTAATAGTTATTAAAAGTAAAAATTAAACATACAATTTTAAAGTGAATGCATTAATATATTATAAAATGATAAACATTTAATTTATTTAAGAATCCATTATAATAATAAAAATAATAACTTTTTCTTATTTTATAAATAAGTAAAAAATATAATATTTAACACTTAAATTGAACAAATATTATTAATATGTAAACTTACTTCTTAATATAATTATAGATTTATCCATTTTAAACTTTGTTGGAAAAGTATTGTTTTTTGATTCATCTGGATTAATGATATCATGTTCACTATCAATACTATCAAAAAAGTCAGACTTATCAAATTGCTTAAAAATATGAGAATTAATTGATCGACAACCATGTTCTTCTTTCTAAAATCAAATGTTTCTTATTACTCTCAAATACATCTAAGGTTTAGTATACAAATTTTACCTTTGGAAATTGATCTAAGCTTTTTAATTTACGCATAACTTTTTTAGATGAAGATTGGTTTCTTAAATGTTGTATATGTTCTTCAAGCATTATAAAACGTTGCTTATATACTGAATCAATTACTCTACCGAGTCGTTTTACTTGTGACAAGGAGTGTTCCAACTTTTTTACAGTACCTCTTTGTTTTTGTTTGAACAACTGAAACTGTTTTTCATAACCTGGTCTGTTTTTGAAATTTCTTTAAAATGTAAAATATTAATAACAAATAAAGTAATAGAACAGAGAACTTTAAATTTAAAAAAAAATTCTTACTTCACTTGAAGGTCATACATAGTAACTTCCCACTTCAAACGATTAGTTAAAGATTTTTCTCTTAAATTAAGTATAGTATGGTGTTGTTTTGCCCTAAGTTTTTCATCCTTCATTAATTGTTCAAACTAAAAAAAAACCATATACATCAATATTTGATAATTATAAATAAATATAGTACATGAGATAATCAGTTAAACTGACAACATTAATATTTAAAACATTTTTTTATGATCTTCAATAAATATTTTAATGCGATTCAAAATATTTAATTTATTGGAAATTAAATATTATTTTCATTTTCAGATCTGATTTTCACATTGAATAATTACTAAAGACATATTAAAAATTAATAAATAATTACCATTTGAATAGAAAAGCCAGTTATTGTTTTATCTACGCCCATCATATTAGATGATAGAGCATTTAGTTTGGAAAATGGTGTAGGAATATCATTATCATTAAAATTAGTGTCATCATTCAGTTCAATAGATTGTTCCTGTAATTTTTTAAATATTGAATAAAAATTTTTAGTATAAAATAAAATAGTATGTTGAATTATTAAACAGGAATATTAAAATATATAAACAATACATTCGTTTTTATTGATGTGTCGCAACTCATTCTTTCAATATCACATAAAGAGTTATTTAATTGGTCGAGAGTATTCAGTTCTGCTTGGAATTCATCATGGATTTCAGGAAACTAACACATAAAACAAAATAATAGTTTAATCTTAAAAATATAGCTTATTTGGTTAATTAATTACTCACAGTATTGGATAATCTATTATTTGTATTATTTTCATTAAGTTTTAAACTTATGGAAGTATTATGTAAATTATTTGAATAATTAGAACAATTGTTTTTTGTCAACAAATCAAAGTCGTAATTAAGTTTTTTTAAAACTTGTTTAATATCTTCATTAGTTATTATATTCAGCTTAGTAAATAGTTTGTCATTATTTATTGCATTTACTTTTTCTTCATGGTTATTATTTTTACTCATTTCAATCAAAAATGAGTTATTAGATTTTGGTTTAATTGGTTCATCAATTAATGAAGGTTTATAGCTATCTAAACAATTTTTTGGTTCAATATGGTTGATATTAGGTAAATTTGTTTCTTCATCGTAAACATATACATCCTGTTTGTTAAATTTAGTAGAATCAAGATTATTTTCATTAGTACATTCATTTATATTTAAATCAACAGCAGGTTCATAAAATTTTAAATTATTGTTTTCTGGTTGTTGTAAATTAAGTTTACATTTTAATACTGAAATAAAATTCAACGGAGGTGGAGGAGATTTTGAAGTCAAAATTGATAATATTTTATCATGACTCTTAGTTTGAGTGGATTCTGAATTACACTTTTTAACTGGCAAACACTGATCAAACAATAATTCTTGAAGCTCTTCTAAATGGTCAATACTTTTCATAATTTCCTCATGTGATTTAATAGGCAACTGTAAGCCTGTATGTAATTTAGTACTATTATTTACAATGTCCGAAGGTTTTGTACTCATATTAATATCAGCCATAGTCAATGTCTCTTTATCTAAATAAGCATTATCGCCTGATTGTTTTTCATTGTCATGGCATGATTCATTTGAAAATGTCACTAAAAATATAAATTATATTAATATTAATATTTTTAATATTCTTAAAATAATATATTTACCATCATTATTATCTTTTTGAACGAAAGAAGTATTAGTGTCAATTAGTTTAGACATTGAAATATCAAATAATTGATAATCATCATTAAATTTTAAATTAGAAAATAAATTTTCAGGTTTGGTAACTTCACGTTTTTGAGGTTCTAAAAACCAATAAAAAATTTAAATTGATAAGTATTGGTTTAAAATATTAAATAGACAATTTACTTTGTTCAATTAATTCTGTTGTTGAAATATTACTTGCTTTTTTTGAAGATGTACATGCATTTATAACCTAATAATAAAAAAAATTAAATATAAATAAAATAATAATATACAGTATTATTTATTTTATCAATTATTATATTCTTAATTTATGTTATAACACTTATTGTGTTAAATAAAGTTAAAAAAAAACTGTATAACTAGATAATTAATATAGGTAACTTATGAGCTAGAAGTTATTAAAGTTGAAACAAATTAAATAAAAATAATTACATCTTTTGTATCATTTGAACATTCATCTGTAATTTTAAAATCTTTTATTGACTTTTTTTGTACATTTCTGAATGCTTCTGATGGTTTTTTACGATATTTAGCTTTAGGTGGTGGAGGCAACCATGTTTGATCCACCTAAAGATATATTTTATAAGTATTATATAATATTTCACATAGGTGAAAGATAAAGTTATGAGTTAGGGATATCTTGTATTACAGTTAAAACTAATAAAATAAAATTAATTACATCTTTTGTATTATTGTTATATTCATCTGTAATTTTAAAATCTTTTATTAAATTTTTTTGTTCATTTTTAAGACATTCCGATGGTTTTTTAAGACTTTTAACTTTAGATGGTGGAGGTGACTTTGTTTGATCCATCTAAAAATACATTTTATAAGCAACATATAAATGTTAGTAATAAATGAAAAATAATTATACATTTGTCTTGAACACAGAAAGTCTAAAAATGTAAATATAAAGTATAATATGATTGTAAAACTTTATGTTCTAATAAGTGTATAATTTAAGTTATTGTGAGAATATTATACCCTATATACAGAAATTTTTTATCTGATGTAATGAATTAATATTTTTGTGTATTATTCCAAAAAAATACCGTAAAAATGTTTGTTGTCAACTAAAAATATTAACTAGAAAAATTTAAAGAAATCATGGTTTGAAATAGTTAAGTATTAAGATATTGTTAATATAAGTGCATTATTAAGTATTATTATTTATCTTAAAAATATTTATTTTTTTAAATATATATTGATTATTGAATACAGAATATTTGTTGGTATTAATACTAATTAACAATTGTTAATTTAATCGATAACAAAACATAAGTTTTGGAATGTTGTATATTATAAAATAAACAATACCTATAAGAAATGATGGTGTTTACTCCATGAAAATATTAATAATGTTACAACTTAATAAATAATTAAATTTTCTAAGAGTTAACAGACTTTACTTGATTACAAATCAAATATTTAATTTTGATATTCAAAATGTAAACCAAAAACTATCTGGGCATAATAATATGTAACCCAATATATATTATGCTTTCTTAGTTTTCAAATGATATAATTAATAATTAACATTGTAATTACTTTTTGCTTGACAGAAGCTTTAGCAAGTTCTTTTGTAGTTTTTTGTAACTGATCTAATTTTTTTTTTCGTTCTTCTGCCAATTTTTTTTTTTCTAATAAATCTGATTTATATTTTTCTGTTCTTTCTTTTTTCTTTTTTTCAATGAATAATTTTGTTTCTATAGATTTAGTGTTTTTTGAAAGTGTACCTTAATTAATATAAATATTCAAGAAAATTATTACATGAATTAGTGGGAAATTAAAATATTATTGAATTAGATATATCTTACTTTGTTCATTAAGCAGAATAGTTTCATTTACTGTAGGAATTGATGGTTTTTTAATTGGCTTACTTAAAATTTGAACTGTATCTTTAACTGTTGGTAAATGTGGTCTAGATATTTGTTTACAGGTATCTCCCATAATTATAGCTTCTGATACATGAATCATATTTTTGATTTATTTAGTTTATTAGAAGTTATTGATATAAACTGAAATTAAAATTTCCTTGAATAGACATATCCCTAAACATTTTTAAATAATGGTTTAAGTTGTTTATAACAAATGATTTTAGTCATAAAATAAACTTAGTTCATTAAATATAATTACAAATAATACAAATAATTATAATTAATTAACTACACAAATTAATTAAGCAAAATATAAAATAGGTATCATATTAGTAAATAATCAAATTAAAAACGAGCAAGTACACTATAATTAATAAATATTATATACTCACTAAAGTTAAAATGTATATAATGAATTAGTTTTGCAGAGCGAGATCAATCATTCATCATTGAAGTTTTAGTTTAATAATACATAATACGCTGTAATATATGAAAATTAAAAACGTAAGATGAAATATTTTAAACAAATTTTAGATTTTTTATTTTCTTTAACGAAAGATATACAAAACAAACGAATACCACAGAATACAACAATAATAATTGAAGAATTTAATATTTATATTATGAATCCGACGAATGGTGTTATCTGTTTGTTATCAATATTCCTCTTATTAACAGTTTTTTAAATTGTTGTTACCTTATCCAGTAAAACCAGTAACCACAGTCCAAAATATTTAAGATGACAGTGATAAAATATTGATAATTATTAATTACCTATTGAAATATAATTCTTTTAAATCGTCATTCGTCACTGAAATTTCTTGTAACCTAATTAGTAACTATCCAAGCGACAAGCGTATAAAAACTACTTGAAAGTTAACACTTAATTACTAAAGCTGCGAATAATATCAAGACACCTACAGTAGGGTTTAGAAAACCATACACTATGATATATTCTACGAGTTATGACCATAGGACTGACTATGGGATCACGCCGATCACGGAATATCTACAGGATTTTTAACGAAGTATTAATAAAAGTTAAGATTGAAGGCTCTTTTTAATAGGCACTTAGACACTAATGGTCTAGGGTATGTGTGGTAATCGGTTAAAATTCGCCACTGATTTTATGCATTAAATTGATTTTAAAGGAGTTGGTGCTTCTTGCAGTATTAATAGTATTATTGTTGTTCCGTAATATATACCTACCTAAATTTTATCATTTATTTTAGAGCGTATAGGTTTTTTGTGATATTTATTTATATATAGGCCTAATCTTTTATGGCATTAATGGTATTGTTTTGGGTGTTCGTAAATAGGTAATACTCAGGGCCGGCGAGAATTTTTGTGGGCTCCGTGGCTGTTCAATTCTGGGCCCCCTTTACTTATAGTTATTTCATATTTGACTAAGATATAGTATATACATAACACTTTAATACAGTAGCTATACTTAATATTTAAGTTTGATGAATTATGAATTAAAAAAAAAAAAAAAAAACATGATATTTGGTTTATATATAATCCTTATTAATATTGAAGAAATCAAGAAAGTAACGATAATCTCGGAATGCGATATATATTATGTGAATGCGTCATTACAAGTACAACTAATGTCTAATACAGTAATACGTAAAAATTTGATCAGACATATTATTATGTGATACATTGTGATTTTAATATTAAACAAGCAGTCAGTCGTTATCGATAAAAAAACCATTGACAAACAATATAATAACGCTCTTTACCATATTGTTATTTATTAATAGCAGCAATAGCACACACTATATAAAAACCGATTTGACGATTACACAAATCGAACTCGCATTGAATACGCATACCTATGTTTTGTTATCTTTGTGCGTACTGCGTACTGTTTCGTACTGTGTTGCGTACGTCGTATGTGTAAAATATAGTAGCTACATTAGTTGTTTAATTTTGAGCGATCAGACGCGAATGTTTACTACTTAACTTGTAATTCTAAATTATATAACATATAATTTGTATAAAAATAATTTTTCTCCTCAAAAAATTAGTAAAATTGACCGCTTGGGCCTATATGGCCTGTGCGACTGTGCCTAAAAAATACGCCTCAGACAACGCCCCCCCCCCCCCCCCCCCCGGGAGGCTCGGGCTCCGGGGCTCTGGTACCACCAGCCCCACCCTCTCGCCGGCCCTGGTAATACTTAGAGGACTAATATTATTGTTGGTCAACCCTAAATCTATATTATACTCTGGTGATACTTCAAATATGATACTTAAATATCATTCGAAAAAATGAAATATTTCAAGTCTATAGCTGATATAGATTGATAATTATCTGTTTTAAAAAAAAGGTAGTGATGTCGTACGCGATCTACCAAACTTGTTTTCAAGTAGTGCGCGATCTACCCAAATCCACTAAAAATAGTATTTAATTTCTATATTTTTTTATATCTTACTTGATAATGATGCTAATAAAAAAATAATAATTGTAAAAATATAATATTATATCAATTTTAAACCATAATAATAATACTTATTTTTTTAAAAAAAATTAAAATTGAATAGTAAAAATATAATAATGTCATAACCAATTACATAACTATTTATAAAAAAGTTTAAATTTAATAATAATAATAATAATAATATCATAATTATTAAAATATCCGATAAACGAACAAATAAATAGTCGTAAATTATCAAGATAATTTGGAAATTCGGAATAACCGGTAGATCGCGTACGACATTACTAGGTACCAAAAAAAAAACAGGCGATGATAGTAGTTTTGTTTATAAAAATCAAAAATAATTTATTTTTACCAACACAAAAATAAAATAAAAAGCATATATACTTAAATAGAATTAGAGTGATAAATGATATTAAGAGCCATGTATTTAGCTGATTTCACAAATAATTCTTATTTCAATATGTAAAAAATAAACTTAAAAAAATGGTGTCGCGGGCTACGAAATATCAGAGTAGGTACCTATATTATAATAATATACGATTATGGTCTTATGGACTCTATAATAATATTCAAAATTTATCTTCAGAACCCCGTAATAATGTTTATAAGTAATATTACAGGCCCCGTAATAATATTGAATATTTTATTGTAATATTTATATTCACAGACCTGTAATAATATTGATAATTTATAACACATGTATTCACGCGACGAGGTGACACACGATTCGAAAAAAAATGACAAGGACAACGCGAGATCTAGACGAATGGTGTGTGCATTATAATATTAAATTAAGCAATTTTATCCCTGATTGGTAGTAATAAATCCTTACACTCTGATCTGAAAATTAAATATGTAAACCAAATTACAACAACTGCCTACCTCAAACTACACAAAAAAATTCAACACACATACTAGGTAATCCCAACATGAGACACCTTGCTTCACTCCACATCTCCGAAAATCCTCCACTAAGACTCAAAAGAAAATGGATCAGAGACCTTCTCCATTAAAAACTATTTTCTCCTGAAAAAAAAAAAAATTCCCTTGAGTAGGTAGGAGCTCCATTGGGAGTCTTCCTACATCGCGCCTCTTTCACGATATGTAAACAACCTACGTCATTAACATTTGTTGTGCAACATTTTGTATAGTTGTATATTTCTTTTACCTAATAAAAAAAATAAAATAAAAATTAAGCCATTTAGATACAACTATACGACGCGAACTACTCAGAAAACATCGTAACTGTGAGAAGACGAGGGCTATCACTTATATTAAAATACAAATCACGGAGCGATTTCTAAGGGCACCCTGAGCAAGAGCTTGCCAAGACACTTAGAGGCTGGTCGTACACCACTCACCAACATTTTGTACTTACATAGTGTATTTTTATATCTGAGTATAAATTAAATAAATATTTACTATATATTTAGTATAATAGTATTCTCATTTCCGTGTGGATATACGAATGGGCGTTGTTCAACGGGACGCAAACAGTACCTACTCGTTGCACGTGCCACCGTGCCACGTGCCAGTAATTATTATATAAGGTGCAACCGCGGCGTCAAGGTCACCCTTTTACAACAAACTAGAGACCGCACTAGCACGTTCGGCGAATAGGATAGACGTGCAATAGATTGAGGTCATTATTTACAATAACAAGTTTAAACACAGTACAAGGACACTTACAATTTCAAGTCCGTGGTCTATCATAACAAAGAATTGATAACTGATTCCATTTGTAAGGGAGCCTAAAGATCAGCAATATCAGATGTACTATAGCCGTTAAGACCTGATCACCTTTAAATCACTTAACCACTATTTTACGCTTCAATAAAAATCTACTTTGTTTTTAACGAAATAAAATAACATATTGTTCATGGTTATATTTTGTACTATTTTATTATCAAAATCACTAAATATCTGATTGCTGGGTGTATCCACGCAACAATGGTTCTATGCTAATCTATAACAAAAATTGTTTTATATTATTTAACATGCCTACTTAATTCAATAGTACCTACCTATAAATTATAACATATACAAACATAACATTAAAATGATATTGCATGCACTTATCATTGTATTAAATGTAAAATAATTAGAAAAATGTGTGTGTGTGATTTATTTCACTGCTCATTTAATGATCTCTCTTCGTGTACCTATTCATTAATTTTCAATTTTTTTGTGTTTTTTTTTTCGATTTTCATTATATACGATATATTATTATGTACAATGTACACACAACTTAATTTATATTTATATTTTTTTTCTCTCTATCTCCCCTAAATACTCATGTAACTACCTTGTACATTTAAAATGTAAATGGAATTTATTCCGTAATAAACAACAATATTATATTATATTATTATTATTATATAGATATCTGCGACATCGGCGGCACCTGATCACCGGATCGCAGACGTGGGCGACGAAACTCCGGTGCAGAATTCGCGTAGAGTGTCGTCGACATCCGAGAGTAACCCCGGAAGCGTCTCGTCGGCGCCGTCAACCCGCACGATGTTGCGAACGGCCTCATTATACTTAGCTGTTCGTCGTCAACCGTCGCTCCCGCTGTCGCATAGGTCGTGTCTCGTCCGTCGCCATGGTCGTCACATCACGTCCTAGAGTTATCGCAACCGCGACATCCGTCTTCCCGCTGGACTGGCCACTACAGCGTATTGTAACCAGCACAACTCGCGATAATTGGCACCCGCTACTCAATTTTTTGTATCCTCCCTCTTTGTTTATCGCGTCGTCTTGTAATTTTTTTTCCCTCATAAATAATATTATTTTTTTGTTTTTTTGATAGGCTACTATTATTTGATCTATTTGTTATTTTTTCACTTAAACCTTTTTGTATTTTTTTTATTCCATTCACATTTCAAGTGTTTGACTATAATACGTCTTATCACGCACAATGATAATAATATTATTAACAGATAGCAATAAAAAAAAAAAAATAATGTATTTTTCCAAAGTGTTGGCTATAAAAAAAAGAAAACTTTATATTACATTCGAATTAAATAATGTAGCTACCGTTGACGAGACTATACAAGTATGCTAGGGGTTGATCCGTTGGGATTAATGGCTTGTGTATAAGACATTAAATATTAAACGCTACATCTATCAGATTGTGAATCATTCACAACAATTTCGCAAATCCAATATAATTTGAATATTTTATAATCTCATGTGGTCTGTGGAATTTAGTATCTACCTGACTAAAACAACTAGTATGTTCAGACTAGTAATCGAAATCGTGATTACATAACTTACGGTTTTATCTAATCATCCTCAAACGTCATTATTATTGCATGTATTATTATATTATACTGACTGTTGTTAATTTATAAATCAATATGAAACTATGATAAAATGGCGCGACAAGCTTACAATTAATCAAAATATTTTGAAAATTTTACCGTGCATAATAAATAACAATATTATACGAAGGGGGTGAACATTTTCACGAATAATATTGTTTAATTTTAAAACATAACTATAATTGTTATTTTTATTTAAATATCAAATTTTACTGATATTTAAAAATATTAAAAAGATTATAAAAAAAACTTGTGACTACATTGAACTATTTTGATACATTTTTTTTCCTACGAATAACTTAAGAAAAACATTGTTTTTTCATCTTTACTCAAAAATCAAATTTTTATCATAATCGATTCAAAAATTAACTAAAAATACTGCAGCTTAAAATGTTTTTAAATACAACACAATAAGTTTCAAAATATTTTGAAAATTATTAATCAAGTTAAAATTACAAATATTTATATTTAATAACAAATTGATACTGCGGACAATTCTCGTTAGGTATTCTACATTTTTGTTTTGTTTTTTCAAATTTCAATTATGTTGTATATTAGTTTACTAGGATCATTTTTATTTATAATTTTCTTTCTCCCGATTGTACCTACTAATTTTAATTTTACCTCCAGGAACCATTCTTAAAAACTAAAATCAAAACATTTTTACTTTTCCAAAAAGTAATGTTAGACACACACAAAGAAAAAAATCATACTTTATTATAAAACATATATATTGTTCATAATCCGCTCAGAATCGAAAAAAGTTTAAGTACTATAATACTTAAATCAAACATCAATGATAAATGATATAATATATAATAATAATAATAAACAAAAACATAAAAAATGTAATTTATTATTACAATTTTATTAATAGTTAAAGAAATTATAAAAAAATAATATGCTAATTTTTTTATATATGATATATGTTATAAAATCAGTCGCATATTTTTGTTAGTTTTGTAATGGCTCTACGATCGTACCATAGTTAGAACTACTTAACATTTTTGACTTTGGTCTTGGACTTTTCTTATATTGAAAAACATCGTTTGTTTCATTTAAGTATTCATATTCATTTGTTCGCTTCACGTACAGCCATCTAAACATAAACACAAAAACTTAACAGTTATAATTATAGCTAAAATTGCTTATTCGCTTATTAAATATTATTAAATAAGTAGTTACTATTAAAATTAAAGATCTGTCTACATTAAATTAAATTAAATTAAATAATATTCAGAAAATTCATCAAAACAAATATTTTTGAATCATATGTTTCAAAATTATTACTACTTATTCAAGTTGAAAAAATATGATTTTAAATTTCATTAATTCACTAACTAGAATTAAACAAAAAATATTAGAATTTCAAAAAAGTTATTTTTTAGTAAACAGAACTTTTTTTAAAAAGAAAAAACCTTTTTAGCTTTGAAAATTTTAACTTATTAAGATAAAATAATTTTATTTACAGGAATAAAGCAATAGTCGGAGCGATGAGTATTAAAGTGATAAAATAAAAAGATCCAGGGAAAAAATTTATTGTGATCTCATATAAGCCATTATATAAGAGTCCAAACACTAATGAAACCATGATTTCTGCAATACCAAAGACAGCAGCTGTTTGACCTTAAATAGAAATTAAACAAACAAACAAAAAAAAAAAAAAAAATTAAAGTAATCTAAAATTAAATCTTAAAATTAAAATTTTCAATTAATAATTTAATAAATCTTTTATAATTTTTAATTATCTCTCTAAAGGAAGTAAAAAATGAGATACGCAGTAATTTATGACTAATAATTCTATTAAATTTATTTTTAGTTAAATAATTTTCTAAATAATAATTAATAATATAACCATTTGTTTCATAGTAATAATATTGATCTAATTAATTACCAAATTTTAATTTTTTTTTTTCATATTTTAACTGAACAAATTGTTATGTTATTAATAGTTATAAAAAACAATAAATGGTTATTAGAATTGATTGAAGTAGATGAATAAAGGGGTTTATTATTATTATTTTTTTTTTTTAAGAAAAGCAATAATAGTGTCATAAGCTTCAATGTAGCTATCATTGATATAATAATTATACCAATTATTATTATTATTATTAGTATAATTGTTGTACTCTTATGTTCTTTATCTCAATTATTACTGATTAGTGATTTGGTACCTATTGTATTATTCTAGATAGATGTGAAATTATAATTTTGACGATTAAGTGTTGTTTTTGTCTACTAACTTATAGTGTATAATATTAAAATATTGTAAATGTTTAAATATTTTTTACAAAAAAAAAAATTCAAAAAAAAAAAAAATTGTATTAAATATCTTAAGAGAAAAAATTAGTTTTTTTAAAATCTAAGAGGGGAGGATAATTTTAAAATAAACCAAAGAGAAGGATGAAAAATGTCTACTTAAAAAATTGAAGTGATATTATTTCTTCCGTATAATTTACCCATTTTAACTACTAAATATAGTAATAAATGTTAAAATATTTGATCTTACTGAGTTCAGATTTTGGTACTAATTTTGTCATCAGTGATTTGGTCGATATGTTTCCTGCGCACGTAAAAATCGTCACCAGTGGTCCTGTATACAGTTAAGTTTATTAAATATTAAAAAAAAAATATATACTTTTTATCAACTAGTATCTTTACTTACCTTTATAAAAAAGAAATTCGTTGTAAGCGAAAATGTAAAACAATGCACCCAGTGTTTGGCTAATCGATGATAACATTCCTATTATTTCATCAGACATTTTCAATTGCTTAGAAAGGAATAATGAGGTGAATAGAAGACCTTAAATAAATTAAATTTGTTAATATTGTCCGAAAAAACCATTTTATTATTATTATTTTTAAATAATTGTTGATACAAACCTAAAATGTTCATTACTATTTCATACGATGCAAATATGCTGTATTGTACTTCGTCCCAATTGAATTGAACTCGAGTATACAAATAACATACTGTATGATAACCTGCACAAGTATACAAAAAAGTAATTAATAAATATCATATAAATCAAAGTAAATTAATAAATTAATAAACTTTTTAACTAGTTAATGCCCGCCTTTGTAAACATGGTTTAATAATATATTATATGTAGTTGTATTTTCGTTATTTTTTGAAGTCGTTACAATAAACCTAATTAGTTAATTGGATATATTTCAAATGTGAATGTATTTTATTGTAAATTTGTGCTTAGAATCTTATAATCATTATAAACTTAACGCGATATTAAAAAGAAAAAAATTTAAATTTTAAACTTGTAGCAGATAGTATCTGTTTGCTACAGTTTTAAAGCAATAATTTTTTTTTTATATGCTATCTATGCTATAGATAACAATCACTTTTTTGTTTCATTTAAACTCTAAAATATTATTATTCAAACTTATTATTTTATCACTTTTCACTTATACTAACCAGCATTTATGCCAGCACTTGCCATGAATATAATTAACACAATTATAATTCTCAGTCTTTGATCGTTCGGACGTTTTTTAAAAGTGGTATTGAACGACTGGGTTATGTGGCTAAAATCTAAAAATTCTGAAATAGTCGTCCGATATGATTTGTTTTTATTCACTTCTGAGACTGGAGTCACATCTTTGACAAACAATAATCCATATATTAGACCTATTATAATCAATGTGGACGATAAACCATATACACCGTAGAATCCTAACTTATTATATACTATGCCGGACAATGACGTTCCGATTGCCATAGATACAGCTAGAATGGCATTCAATGCCCCAATTCTGAACGTTCGTTGATCTACCTAAAACAAATGTAAATATTAAATAATGTTAATAGATTAAAATTATAACAATTAATGATAAATAGGCACCCCTCATAGGTTTTTTATATATCCCTATATTAAGTTTATGTATTTTTTCAGCAGCTTTTAAGTTGTAATAAATAAAAATGTGTATTTATTTTTATTTTAATCAATGAATTAAAATTTTGTTCTCAAGTTTTCTATTTCTCAAAATTAAATATTTTCTATCGTCATTCTTATTAATACATTTTAAAATATTGTTATTTAAATATTTTAAATTGTCAAGTTTGAGAATAGTTTTGCTGAATACTTATGCTTGCCCTATTTTAAGCTTTATTGAGAGGAGAAATTTTCATGACTTATATTCAATACATATTTCGGAGCTAAATATTTGTGGGTCTTATCATAAATTGTAGGTATACAAATTGATACGATTGTTAGATGAGATATAACAAGTCTTAATTAGAAACTTTGCTTTACCGGTGTTAACGTTTATGGTAATAAACATTTTATTTTGATATATCAAATTAAATCACTAGCATTAAGCGTTATCTAATATTGATATTTAATATGTTAGATTTGGTTTCTCTGCATCATTCTTAGGTCTGATTTAGTGATGATTGAAATTTATATCGGTCTTGTAATCTTGCAGCAAGACTAAGATCAAAACGCCAGACAGTGTTGGAACTAGCAATACAAAGTTTAAGATTGAGAAAGCAAAACCAAGACCAATACAGTAAAACTTTTGTGGTCGTGCTAATTTTATTTAAATTTGTTAGTGATGCCTAGTTGAAATAAAATACAGGTTTGACTGCATAGTACATATTTTATAAAAAGTAGATATTTGTAAACGTTATGCATTTTATTATTTTTATAAATGTTATGTTGCCGGTTAATATTGTGTTTGGATAGGTAACAAAAAATATTTTCCAAAATAAATTAACTATAATTATCTTTGTCGATGAGTGAATATTTTAGAAAATTGTATTATTAGAAACACATAGATTCTAAATTTTACGGAAAATTAAAAATCAGTATACTTATATATTCGCATGTCGCAATATAACAATATTAAAATGTACTAACTGAAGTGGCGTCACCGATGTAACTGTAAGCTGTCATAGTCATTAAGGTTTGGCCACCAGTCAAGGCCAACGGTATTGTTTCGGCGATGCCGGCCGCCTCCATGGGCAGCTGATAGAAATAATAGACGCACAACAGTTGGCCGGCGTTACGCGCAAGTTCGCCGTATAACGGCAACAACATGCACGGGACGCGCTTCCGGGTCCGGTCGCTCCAGCCACCCACTAACAGCATGAGCACACACGGCAGCGCGTTTTGCGCGCACGTCTGCCACATCATCATGCTGGTTACCAGTTTTTGGACTTCCACCTCGTCGGATTGACGTCCGGTTGTGCTTTTTGTCACTAGCGCCTCGCACGTGTCGTCGGGCAGTTGAAGGTTCACCCGACACGCTTTCTGCATGTTCAGGTTGGACACGGTGAGCGTGACCATCGTGAACGCCGTCATGTAGCACGCGGCTATTGGCTCGACGCTGATACCGTTCCAGAACCGCCGCCAAACTGACATAGTGGCCGCCTTGGCTGACTTTTGGCTCATGTTGATTTATATCAGCATGCCGTGAACCGAATTCGACGGGGGGGTGATGATGCGTGTAATCTGTGTTTATAAAAGAAGAAGTGTTGACTGACTTTTTATCGAAAAAAATAAATAAAAGATTTTTGTTAGTTTGCTGTAATTTAAAAATATTATTCGCAGATACATGAAATCATTTTTAACTTATACTGCTGCAACACACCTACCCGTTTAATAAAACGGTTAGCTATTCCCACTACACGAACCGGTCTTAAGGACCGGGTTGTTGAACTGATACAAATAAAGTTTTCTAAGTTATATTTTACAGGTCCTAGAAACTTGTGACCTGCGCTCATAAATAACACAATAGAAACGATATTATAGCAACGTATTACAAGGTTTATTTAAATGATTCAATATTAATATAATAATTACACAATACACTATCACCTGAGTAACCCTGTTCTTGAGAGTAGTATTTGAAGATCACAGGTGTAGTGGAGTACGAGTTGAAGCGATTGAATAAATTACGATTTATCTATAAGGTAGGTTATTTTACCTATAGTAAATCAAATTAAAAATATCACTTAAAAATACAGAGATGACTATTGTCTCTATCTCGCGAATTAAACTCGACTGACTAGCTATTTCAATGATTTGCATATACTCGTATTCTACGTTCCTGTGTTCTTATGACCTAAGCAAAAATTGCAAAGTGCAGCATAAATGACGCGTCAGTAACATGTATATCATTACACTGCTAAATTGTATACACACTTTGATGACGACGTTTTACAATGCCGTGTTTTTAGTAAAAATTAATTAAAATTATTGTAATATCTAATGAAAGTAAAACAAATTACTTTAATAGCAATATACAATTAAAATATTTTATAAAATACATTTAGTAATAATAGGCCGAAAGATCGTCTTCGCTCAGAGCCGTTTTTCGAATGCAAAGATTTATCGTTGAATTCAAATTTAACACATATATGATACATTTCAGTGACTTATTGTAAGTCTAGAATAATATTCCTCAACGATAGGGTACAGTCGACGCCTACTGTACAGAACAGTGGATAGCGGTTACTTAATTTCCCCTCCTTTTTATTTTCTTTATATAAGTCATTGGTCATAGAAAAAAAAAATAGTTATTGTTATTGGACATAATTTTAATTCTGTGACCTGGTGTGGTGCGGCGGTTGGCCTCGGTCACTAATGTGTTCTGAGGTCAAGCATCAGTCAGCGTTGCTAGCTCTTGGATGGGTGACCACTCGAGTTCTTAGTGACGAATCCATGGCGTACATACATACACACACGTGTTCCAACCGTACTAACCAAACTTTATAAACAAACCTTACACGAAAAAACTTATTGTTCCTATCCATAGCTAATGGCCTTAGTTTCCGGGCTTAAATAAGATAAATAAATTTAAAAAAAAAATTGATTCTATATTTTATAATCGGTTAAAACTATCGAAATGGTTGTTCAAGTCTGTATAGTTTATATTTAGTTGAGTTGAAAACAGGGTAACTTTACAAACAGCACCGACTAAGACCAGCTAGCAAAAATAAAAATAATATAACATACATAATATATTATATTATCTGTAAACAACATTAAATAGCTTAATCAACCTGTACAGTGATTTGTGAATAAAAGTTATTCAAATTTAATAAATAAATGCATTAACTTGGGGCGTGGGTGTTGTTTAAGTTTTTTTTTATCCTAACCAGCTGCTTGTAAAATTATTTGTCCTGAATTCGAAATACATGATTTAGCTAGCTAAATAAAACCAGAAATATATTTTATAAGTATATTACGGATTTGTATGTATTTGCATATTTATTCGGGTTGATCGTATGATATGTTAAGTTAGTAAAAAATTTGTTTCATGATATAACGATTTAAAAAATAAAACTTTTTTGTGCATAATTTTGCATATTTTTCTATTTTAAGGGCTTATTTTACAATTTTAATTGCATATTTCAGATTTTAGTGCATATTTAGATGTTTTTTGTTTCTTAAAAATATTTTTAAATACATACTATTGTCTATTATAATATAAAAAAACATATTATATTTAATAATTTTCATTAGGAATAAACAATAAAAAACTTTTTTATTGTTATAATTTTTTTAAGCTTTTACTTTTTTGAATGACAACACACATTTTTAATTTCATATTCTAAAGTAGAATTTTTTTTGGAGTATTTTGACGTTTAATAATCGAATTTGGACAAGTAGTTTAGGAGTTATAATAGTGTTTAAAATTTAGATAATTGGAGTAGTAGACCAACATTTTGCAACGTGTACCATTTCATTTCTCTTTAAAATATATTTTATAACTCAATTTTTTCTCATTTAAACATATTATATTTAGTTTGAAAATTAAACTATTAAGTAGATGATTTTATTAAAAAAACATTTATAGTAAATTATATTTTTATTTATGATGAATGGTACACAAAAAATAATTAATTAACTGAAATTACACAATAATGAATAATTTTTATTTGTTAAACATTTTTAATGCATATAAATTGTGATAATCTATAAATACTTATAGGGTGTTGGTTAGTTACAAGATGCTCATAAAGTTAGGTTGACTTAACCTCATAAGTTAAAAAATACCTTAAATTGACTATTTCTCCATTTAGATGATGTTTGATTTTTTACGGCAACGATAGGTTGAAAATTAAACGTTTCACATATTTTTTAGTGTATTTGTAATTTATTTTTGGCGCGAAAATTTTTTAAACGTAAAAAAACGAATGGTCCGGACACAGTTGTAAATCCAACTAGATAATGTTACACTATAATAATTATAAAATATATAACTGACAACTATATATATGTTAGAAATAGGTACTATATGCGTTGTATACACGGTGCGTTGTAGTATTTTTCGTTTTCCGTATCAGGTATTTTTGATTATTAACTATCAGTGATAACACTAATGCTAACGATATAACGATGTATACTCGACGAACCTTAAGACAATCTCCCCTCCATTTCTTCAATTAACACATCAAATCTTTCGCGTGCATAAATTTAATCTTGTTGAATACATAATGAATAATGTTAGTTTTATTTATTTATTTAATAATTTAACATGAGATAGAGTGTGTTTCTCTAGTCTTAAAAAATAGCAATTTAAAGATAAGTGAGGTACATTTAACAATAAATAACCGAACAATGCATAAATTTAATTATGAAAAAAAGCTATGTAAGACAATATATGCAATGTAACCAATATGTTGGTTATACGAGTATTTCCTCATAAAACTACTATAAATAATTGATATTTTTGCACTCTTCTAATCGTAGCACCTCTAATCTACATATTTTAAAATGTCTTCTTTGTTATATTTTAAATTATGGAACGTGGTTTAAATAGGTAGTTAGTGTTGTGTCATAGTTCACTGGCCTTTTTGTTTATTGCGATAATGTGTTTTTCTTATAAAATAATGTATTTCTGTTAGAAACATTGAGATATAAGACTTAGCAGCTACTGAACTGTAATATTATATAGATTACATAAGTAATTAATGTATAATAATGTAAAAAGTAATTTATGTTTATATCACTGATTAGTGTGACTTAAAGGTATGCAGTTTATCCTTTTACTAAGTATCAAGTAATTGTTCTTTATGTTTCGTTAATTTCGTCCAGTTAATTAGAAAATCATGATGAAATTGAAACCGTAAGTTTATTTAATGACCAATTTGTTAATAAATTAATCAAACAATAAAGTTACGTAAAAAAATTGTTTAAATTTCTAAAATTAAACATAGACGTGTATATAATTTTGGTATCACGAATGAGATGGCTGTGAATACAGAGGAAGTATGGTTAGAGTCCTGTGGTGTATTTAGCATTATGATGTTCTTGGTACATATTTTCTTTATTTTATTTCCCTTTGCTTTAATGTAGTATATTATATTTAAAACAATAATTCAAGTTATGTATTGTGTAATGCATCATTGTGTTAAAATATCTAAAGAAAGTTATATAAAAATATTAATACTTTTTTTTTTAAATGTGAAAAATCATAGTTGGTAATAATTTGCCAGTATATATTAATTAACGCAATAAAATGTATAATACTGGTCAGTGGTCATATAAATAATATATAGTATTTGGTTCACTCTTTATTGGTTGGCTGAAGTCACATATTTTTTTAATTATTTCTCGCGTTTTACTTTTATTGTCTTATTAGCAATGATTATTTATTATTACATAATATATGTATTATGTTTTTTAAATAATTCTATTAGATAATTAGCATTCTTAATTAAGATAGCAAAATATGTTCATGAACTTGGGCCTCCCACTTTATTTAATCAACTCCAAGTATATACCCAACAATAGAGAATGATAAACAAACATAGTGAGTTGATTTTGAAAATGAACGAATTATTTTTATATTTTTATGATAAAATTTCTAATAAATTGGCTAATTACTTTATCTGATCTCTTTCAAAAGTATGCTAAAATATAGAAAATAATTAGCAAATAGTAGTAAGTTTAGTTTTAAAATTAGTAAGTCATTTTGTAATTATTAAATTAAATTTTATACTACGTAGGCCAAGCTCATATAGTTAGCAAAAGCTTTGATAGTATAAGTTGTTGAATTTTTCATCACCAACTAGATGCCAAGTGAAATCTACAATCATAACTAAAAGGCCACGTGTTGTGACTGCTGAACCAATTCGAGTAGTATTAAATAGCGCAAATCCAACTAATGTTTAATTTAAGTGGTCAAATATTTCGGGAATAAACTAAATTGTAGTTTTCTTCTTGATTTAACGAATATCAATATTTTCTAATCGCATTTATTGATAAACTACACGTGTCAAATTGTTTTACTAGTTTTAAAGTATTAAATACATATATTATAATCATATTATTATTTTAAACAATCAAATTAGTATTATAAGACCTATCTGGAAACAAACATAATAGCGATAGTAAAATGGCTTATTAAACATAGAATCATCATGAAAAGTAATACAGTACTAATGCCTATTAATTATTATGAAATATTATAATGAATAATTTTACTATTAATGATAATTTTGCATAATGATATACAGGAAATAATAAAAATTAAAAATTTTGTAACGCTGTTTAGAAAAGCTAATAGCTTGATAGCCTCTGTTATTATTTATTATTAGAGATATAAGTAGATACCTAAATACTTTTTATACGAGGAAATTGTGTTGGCGTTTTTTGTATCATATGATTGTAACGTTAAAAAACATTATCTTGCTTCATAATTATTGTTTATTCAATTGAACGTTATTTAAATTAAGTTCTGAGTATTTAGAACTTTGATTAAAAAAAGAAAAAAGATTAAATATACACAATTTATTAAAAATCTGCAAATTTATTTTCTACATTATCGATAACCAGTTGCGGTATTTTGATCGTAGAATACAAGACACAGGAGATATAAACTATGTACTGTTTACAATAAATGTCTAAAATATTATTATAATACATAAATAGACTGATATAGATATTATAAATGTTTTTTTATGAAAAAAAAATACGTACGTGTTTATTTATTATATACAAAAGTTGATGGTCATTTATGACACGCTTAGTTATTTATTTTATATCTATGCGGACTATAGAGTAAAATAAAATTAGTTAAAATGTAAAAAACGTAAGCAAGCGAGTACTGCTCTGCTGTACATTAAGTGTCGATTGGGTGTCCTTGCAAAAATGTTTTTGAATTACAATAAAATTAAATAATTTTGTAAAAATTTGAAAATATATATATATATGTATAAAATATGTCTATGTATTTTTACAATTATTATACATATACGTTAAAAATCTTTTGCGATATCTTGTATTTTATTTTCAAACATTATAACCCAGAAAAATTTTTAATCAACATTTAAAGAAAAAAAATTTATGGCTATAAAAGCTAAAATAGAGTCAAAATATTTTGAGAATTTTACTATGTATTAAAAATAATAATATATACATTTGAATTATGGCAAAATAAAAAAGTCGATTTTGTTGAAAACTGGCTTAATGTGAAAATTCTCGGTTTTTCTTAATTTTTTGTTTATTTTATCCGATTATTTTGAAAAATTCTGGAAATTTCTTATAACTGTGACATTTTTTAAGTATAAACTAGATTTTATTGTCTACCTGAAATCACTCAAGTGACATGACTAACTCCTTCAAGTTGAAAATTAAACCACTTTTTCAATTACTTATCGTATAATCAAAAAAAAAAAACACATACACACACATCATTGTGTAATCAATAGATTTATCGATTTGTTTAGAATCTAAATTAAGTATTTGGTGGAAGTTTCAAGTTTATAGGAATTCCTCCCAGAGATTTTTTCGTGCTGGAATTGAAAATAATTCTTAGCAAGCTTGACGAACCGAATAGGACAGAGTCGAAGGTAGAGGTCCAGAAAGTAGAGCGCGATATTCTGCTCACTGCTTGGTTCATCAGGAGAAGTCACGGCAACAATACGGCCTGGATACATAGGATTTTTTTTTGAACCTGAGTCCTGAGAATATGGGTGAGAAGACGTTCTAAAGACTTTACATTTTATGTAACTCATGCTCTTCAGGACAAGGGTGTTTAGGGCTTATTTGTACTAGCTGAAGCACGCTCTTGACGTTGCATACTTGTACTGCCAACATCTATGGGGTACTGCTGACTGCTGAGTACTTGATTTTTGATTGTACGTATTGGGAAGTATTGCGGGTGATAATATAGACGTTCATTGTGTAACGTACCCTTTTCACCGAGTAGTGACGGACCTTGCGTTCGCTATACTGGTGGAGCTATGTTATTTATTAACGAGGTCTCTGGGACTCGACCTTGGTGTAGTATTAATATATTAGAGATCAGGGTTATCTTATTCAAGTAAAGCTCAGTGTTATAAATGTTACGTATATTAGGTTTGACAGATAACTTGTAATTAACCCCATATACAATTGGTAGCAGAAATATCACCCCGAGTGACGTCAAGGATTATGTTTTATAATCTCACTTGTCAGAATGATTGATTCAGAATTATAGACTACCTCTTAAAGTATCACACAGTCTTTTTACGACATCGTAGAGGATATATTACGCTGCAAAGAACAAAACGAGAGGTAAAAGCAAGAGTTTATTTATGGGTAGCTGCATAGACCGACTGAGCTTCTCCTTCGATAAACAGAATTCAGTAGAACACAAACATAGGTGAACGGGTGCGTACAACAACTACAGTCTATTTGCGCCCCAGAGTAGTATATTAGCGCCCTGAGGGATAAGGACAGATGCGCATAAAAGATAAGATACTACCTGCCGATTTACAGACCATATTCGTCCAATTTACATATAACGTTGCCGTTGTGATCCATAAAATGAATTATTAATATCTTGATAGTTACTTAGATTAAGTAGATTAGTAGATTATAGTACTTTAAATATAATTGTCTAAATAATACAGTTTAAATTTTACAATTTTTTCAATATTTTGGGTTTAAAAAAATTAGACAATATGGCAATAACTAACATTAAATCCAGAATTTCTTAGTTGAACAACACTTAATTAATTCACACTAATTTTTATTTACTGTAGTAAAAATTTATCTTACATAAAATAGTATAAATCATATAAACATTTCAAATAATAATAATAATAAAAAAAAATGTTAAAAAATTAAACATTCACGATTTTTAATAGTATTTATTATTTTAAAAATCCATTTTTGTAAATACGAAACTCAAGTATAAAACTGTAATATTTTAGCTAAGAATTTGTAGCTTTTGTAAGGTTGCACAACGCATGTACAGAAAGAAGTAAAAATCATCACTAAGTGAAATTTAGATAAAATGGATCG